ATCTTCCCATTGCTCAAGCACCACCACAAACGTGAGATCTCCAATTCAGCCAGGAAACAGGGATTAAGGAGGAAAGTAGTTGTAAGTATAAAGATCCAGCAGAAAAATGCCTCTTGTCACTTATTTTTCTTAGTGGAAACCACTTCCAAATCCCTTGAATTTGGCCAATTGCTCTGATCAAAAGCTGCTGTCACAAGTGAGGCTGCAGCACTCTTGGCTGAAGCAAGTAAAAGTTTTGAATTGCTATAATTATAAAAAGGAACAGATTTTTCCAAAGTCCTTTTTTGCCTCCTGCCTCTCTGGTATATATGTCAGTAATTGGACTTTTCTCTCTGAAGAATTTAAAATAGAGAGCAAACTCGACCACATATTCATCTTAACGTGATATTTAAGAGGTTACTGCTGCATGCAAATGAAGAGATTAGCAAAGTTTTTGAGAGATACTATTTATTCACTATTTTCCATACAAATAAAAAAGAAAAGGTGGTCCAAGAGGAAGCTAATTCCCTTTTTCCTAATAGGCTTTCATTTGAACTTACTTACAAGCATGTTTTTAATATCAAATCATCTTTTATAGCCACATATATTTCTGCTCTCCTTAAAAATCACATATTTTAAAATTTGCTAATCTGAGTATATTGCCAGTGTCTTTTGCACTTTGTTGTATCTTTGGAGACACAGCTTCAGAAATAAAAGCATGTGCATACTACCAGTGATGGAAAAGAATTTCAACCCCTTGTTATTTGCATTAAAATATAATTGTTCCCTTCATCTACACCCAAGTTTGCTATGTCCTGTGAGGTAGGGGCAAATAAATACCTTTATTTAGATATTCAAAGGGGTTTGTGTGCTCCTCAGTAAAGACAAATGAACAATGAAAAGTTAAAAATAGCACATTCCTGGACCTTAGATTAGTATTACACAGAATTCATGGCACAAATAGGCTTTCCTTGGTTATGATGCTGGTTCTCTGGTGTACAATAAAACTCACCTAAGGTGACCTTTGTGCTGTGGTGCACCTCCAATTACACAGAGAAACACAAAGCTATTTAACAGATTCATCTTTTTATCAACTTTTAATAACTTCCATGAAGCCCCTTAGCAACTTCAAACAAAAATCTTGGGAGAAAAACTAAAGCACATGATTTTGCAAGTTAAGAAAACCCCTCCTAGAATATGAGAAGAAGAGACCTTTTAGGAAACTGGAATTTGTTTGGCACCACTGTGACAGCAATGCAGGTAACCACCTTCTCAAGGGCTCTCGGGGGCTACCCGAGCTCAGCTCCAGCTTTGTAGACACACCTCCATTAGTGCAATAGCTATTAAAGCACGGGTTTTGAAACGTCAGCCATGACTAGAATTAGACGTCCGCACACACGCAAATTCAGACAGACACCTGCAGGCATTCACGGAGTCGCAGGACTGCGGCCACGCTGTGAAGCAGAGTCCAGGAGCGCTCAGCGCAGACCGGGGCGCTGCTGCGGCCGCCTCTCGCCTCCCGCGCTCGGCTGCGGGAGCGATGCAGGACGAGAAGAAACAGAGGAAACGGGAGATCCAAGAGGAGGGCAGGGTGGGAATGCACTCAAGCGGACAGGCACCCCCTGATGACTAAGCTGCTCTGGCTGGTCCCCAGCTCAGCGGGCCAGAGAGGCGCGTTGTCCCGCGGCAGTCTTCCAGGGTTTCCCTCATGACTCATGCCGCAGGGAGCATTCCCCGAAAACGAGCACGCCCCCGGCCGGGGCTTCCGCAGAGGCTCCCGGGGCACTTTCCGTGAAACACTTCAGGAGGACCCGGGAACAGCTGGTGCCGAATGTGGCAGAGCATCCGTGCCGGCCAGTGGAGGCTCGGGGGAGTGAGGGAGGGAGGGAGCAGAGCCATGCCTCCTTTTGGCCCCGCACTCCGGGCACCCTGGTCGCCAGCGCCCGGGGCAGACTGGCCCCCGACGTCCCTCTCACACCGATACTCTGTGCCCGGGGCAGCCTGTCTTTCGTCGTCCTGAGCATCCCGATACCCCGTGCCCGGGGCAGCCAGCGCCGCGGTGTCCCCAGTGCCCGGCGCAGCCGCTGCCCTTCCTGTCCCACGGCCGCGCAGCTGCACTCCCCGCAGCCTCAGCAAGCCAAGGGGGTCCCCCGGAGAAAGGGGTTTGTAAGATAAAACGTTCACCTTCGAGGGAAAAAAAACTTCTTAATTGTAGACGGGGATGGAGGAACGACCACTATGCTACAGTTATCCCGCGTGTTAAAATGATGCGCTGGAGATGTCCCTGCAACCTCAGTGTGGAGGGTTTGCATGCCCACCCCTGGGCAGACCCTCTGCAGGTGCCCCGACGCATTTTTTTCTCGCCTTCAAGAGAAAAAAGGCGAGAGTAAAATCGGGTTTTACTGCAGCAGTTCCCGCTGAAGTTGCACCGCACGTGTTTGCGGGGAGTGCTACTGACACTTGTTTCAAGCAAGATTGCCCGTTGCAAAGCTTTTGTGTTTTCTTTTGTTTTGGTTGGGGTTTGGATGATGCCTTTGATTATTATTCGTTATTCCGGTTTTATTTTCGAATCAGTGACACAACTTCAAGACTGAGTAATAATTATTTACAGTTCTGGAAAGAGGTGCAAGAGACGTCCAAATGAGCCCCGGTTATGGAATTGGAAACCTTTATTTCCGTAGGCGTACAGGTACATATATGAAGCCAGCAACGATCTGAAGCCCGGGAGGAGAAAAACAACGTGTAAAGACATCATGGATAATCTCAACGGTAACCAACCAGTTTCTCTAGTGCTTCTGAAGCACGGGCATCCCTCTCTTCAGCTGTCTTTCGTGCCTTGTCGGGTCACGTAGTGGTACAGGATAATTAACCTTTGGCTTTTTCTTACACAGTCCTTTGTAGCTTGATCATCTTTCTTCAGATCGCCTTCTTACCGTGGGGGTCCACCTACAATTTCAGCCTCTGCAACCACGGCAAGATACAAGAGGATCTACTAAACGTTTTGGATGCAGACAAAACCTTTACACAAGAGGTTGGTGCTTTCTCTGGTGGCATCGGAGGGAAACTGTCGGGACGGCACTGCCTCCACGTTTTTACCCTTGACCACAGGCAGCTATTTTCTGAAAATCTCGGTTAGCAAGCCGGGAGTTGGCTAGTTTAGTAAACCGGTACCTGTGAAACAGGACCTTGAAGTTATGTCCAGCTGTCCTCCGGCGACCTTCCTAAAATGTGCTTCGCTGAAGCTGGGACTGGCAGGGACGGAGAGCAGGAGCCCGGGCGGCCGCTGCCAGAGCTCTACCCGACCCTTCCCAGCGCCTTGCAGACCCGTAGGACTGAAAGTCGCTTGTATAATGCTTCACCGACGCTGAAGACGGTGTCACGGTTGCAAAGGTGATAAGTGGTTTAGAAGCTACGCGGAGGGTTCCCACGCGCAGCCGGCCCTTAGCTCAAAGACCAGGCAGTGTTTTTCGGGGACAGCAGCCCTGCCGCTGGCTCGGACATCACAGCCCGGAGCTGCCCAGCGCAGCCCAGCAGCGGCTGCCCCGCACGGCCGCCGCCCGACTCCCGCAGCCGCCCGCACCGTGCGAGGCCCCGACGGGACGGGGAGCCCCGACAGGAGGGATGTCCATAACGGGGTGCCCGAGACAGGCTGGCAGCCGGCGAAGGCGACCCCGTGGGACGTGGCTTTAACAAGCATCCTCTGTTGTTGTTTCCTTCCAGGAGCTACGACTCGATTTTCACACCTGCGAGGACGCGCCCTCCGAGCCGGCGGGCAAGCAGCTGTCCGAGGTTCGCCCTGGAGGGCTCCCTTCCCGGCGGCTAGGTGGAATTCCCTTTCCAAAAAAGAAAAAAAAAAAAAAAGGAAGAGGGGGGCAAGAAAGGGAGAAGGGAATATGAGGGAATGGGGGAAAGGTAAGGGGGAAAAGGAGAAGGAAGGGAGGACGGGAAAAGAGAGGAGGGGAGGAAAGTGAGGAAGAGGAAAAGAAGGGAAAGAGGGCAGAAGGGGGCAAGCAAGGATGAGGAGCTTTTATATTTCTTTGGAGTGGTGGATGGGCAGCCTCTTATTAGGGATGCGTGGGGAGGCGCTGAAGGGAAAAGGAGTTAAGGGTCGTGACCGGCCGTCTGCTCGCAGGACTCCAGGCGGGCGGAGCGAGCGGGCCGGCTGCTGGAATGCTTCCTGGAGCGGGCGCGGGGATGCGGGGAGCGGCCGGAGCTGTGGCGCCTCACCCAGTCCGTCCTGAAGCACCACTGCCCCGGCTTCTGCGCGTCACAGCAGGGCAGTACTGGGACAGCGCGGCGGGGCAGCCCCGGAGACAGCGCCGGGAGCGCCGCCGGGACGTCAAGCCCGGTCCCGTGCGACAAGAGCAAAGCCCGGGAGCTGGTGGCAGTGTGGAGAAGCTACAACAACTTAGGATAGCTGCTCGGGGGGGGGGGGGAGGGTGCGGCTTTGCACTTTGCGTCCTCCGCCGGACTTCACTTGCATTGTCCGCCGTGCAGTCATAGCAACGGAGTCATCCTGCGGGTTGGTATTTTTTTTTTTAATATCCATAATTTATTAAAAAAAAAAAAAAAAACACACATACAAAACCACCACCACAAAAACTCAAAACAGACACCTCGGGAAGTTCAGAGGCTCCCGACGCGGGTGTCTCGAGGGATGCGCCATCGGAGGTGGGCTCACCTCGCGCCCCGCTGCCGCCTCTACGGCGGGACCACCCGCAACCGGACCTGGTGCTTTGCCACGCAAAGGGGATAACGAAATGAAGACTAAAAGGGGATACAAAAATGAAGAATAAAAGAAAAAAAAAAAACCACCGCGCAGTCGCGGCTGCGTGGAGTGTTTGCGGCAGAGTTGGGGGCATCGCGCCCGTGAGCGGCGTGCGGAGCGGGGCCGGGGCGGAGCGGGGCCGCTTTCGGCGGCGCACGGCGGGGCGGGGCGGGGCGGCGGAAGCGGCCGGGCGCTTCCTGCGGGAGGGCGGGCGGATGTGGACCCGGACCCGGACGGGGACACGTGCGGAGCGATGGCGCGGGAGGGCGCGGGGCTCTTCGCCGCGTTCCGGGTGCTCGGCCGCTTCAGCGGGCACGTCCCGCACGTCCTGCGCTACCACGGCCGCCACCGCGAATTCTACCTGGCCGTGGCCGTGGGGCGCAGCGTGCACACCTACAATGTGAGTACGCGGCGTCCCGGTCCCCGCTCCTTTTTCCCGGCCTCCTTCCCGCTCCCACCGGCCGTGGGGAGGCCGGGGCCGTGCTGAGAGATCCGCCTCTTCCTCCCCTCCTCCTCCGCCTCGCCGTCGTGATGCGGGAGCGTGTGCGGGGCTGCGGCGCCCCGCTGCTGCTCCTCTGCAGCCGGCCTGACCGGGAGGGAGGGAAAGAGGGAGGCTGCCGGCTGAACAGGACGGGAATGAGCTCGTTCAGCCGTGTGGGCAGCGCTAGCCGGTGCGGCACGACTCATTCATCGGTAGCGCCCAGCTACTGAAGCTTTTCCTTCATCACGAGAAAAATCAAACCCGCTCTGGTTTAGCGTTTGGGGGTTACGCTTTAGGGTCGGGGGGCGGTCAGATCCTGTTAAAACCCCTGTATGAGAACGGATCATTATAGCTGAGCTCAGCAAGATGAAAGCCTGTGATACGGACTCGGTTTTTTGTGGTGTAGAATCCTAAAGCCCTTAAGGTTGGAAGGGGCCTCTGGAGATCACCCAGACCAACCCCCCTGCCAAGGATGGGTCACCTAGAGCAGGTTACAGTGGAAGGTGTCTAGGTGGGTTTGGAATGCCTCAAAAGAGGGAGACTCCGTGACTTCCCTGGGCTCAGTCAAAGCATTTTCACTGTATAGGAAGCAGTACAGCACAGAACTGAGCTGAGTACAGCGAACACCAGAGTGCAGACATCAGAGATCTTTCTCTGCTTCTGTGGCGCCTTTTAGCGTTCACTCTTGTCAGTCTCCTTCACAGCCTTTGAATAGAGTAGTGATCATCACTGGCAGAGATGGCTAGGTGTTTGCAACTAAAGCAAAATCTCTGTGAACAGAGATAAAATTAGAATACATGGTGGTTGTAGTGAAAATAAGGTAGAAGCAGAGATGAGGTGGAAATGATGGTACCCAAGCTCCTCAGGATGTCTTAACATGTCCTTAAGATGCCTGTGCATTAGGGTAAATACATGAGGAAGCACAACTTACTGTTGGTGAGTAGTTGTCTTTTGGCAAATGCATTGCCCCATTCCTTTTGACCTGCTGTCTATGTGTTTTTCAGTAGACAGTGTTTTAAACTGGGATGAATAATCTTCCTGGTTTGTGAAGTATCAAATTCATTGTCCCGTCTAGGTTAATTCCTAGAATTTTTAATTTGTTTATACCAAATTCATTGCAACCAATCACTAAAAACACCTTTTTTTTAACATTTTCATTCCAGGTGAAGAAGCTTGGTATTGTTGCTGTGAGTAAGTATTCATAAATTGTTAATTCTTTTGATTTTGTTGGGATTTTTTTTAAAATGTCCAACATCTGCACTTCATTTTCAACTAAAAAACAAGAAAATAAATTGTATTTGCTAATATTTACACTGAAATATATTAAAAGGAATCTGAGAAATCTAAAATACCAGTTTGTAAATAAGACTGCTGTTGAAACTGAAATTTAGTTTTTTTAGAGACATACCTTTTGAACCTTCTATTCTTAACATCTTGTTCTTCCAAAAACACCTCTAAGCCATAAGGATTGATTGCACAGGGAATAAAGCTCAATTATTAATTTATTGAATTAATTTCAGATCCCTTTTTTGTTGTTTTTGTGATTATTAGAAGACTCTTATAGGAGAAAAATAGTACATTAAGAAAATAGATGTGGATGCCTTCAGGGAGTGTTAGGAGTTGGTTGTACTGGTGGGTACAAAAGGATATGGATTGATGGCTTGACATTCACTTGGCCTTTGGTGGCAGAGCACCCTGGGTGTCAGCAGCAGGGCCCATGTTCTTCAGCACCCTCCCCAGCAGCCAGGGTGATGAGGCAGCATGCACCCCTAGGATAAGCTTGCAGAGGATGCTGTTTTAGGAGGAGGAGCTTGACACCCAGAATGGCAAAGTTTTGGTCCAGGGAGCTGCTGCAAAACATGAATCCCGGGCCAGCAGGAGCCTTGCTGAGTCCTCAAAGGGCAAGCGCAGAATCCTGCTGCACCTGGGACAGAGCAAGCTGGGAACTGACTGGCCCATGGCATCCTGCTGGGGAGAAGCTGGAGCTGTGCTGGTGCCAGGCTGAATGTGGACCAAAGACACGGTTGCTGTGAGTAAGCCAGGCTGGGTGTCAAACCTCATCAGGAGTGCATCCAGCAGATCAGGCAAAGCTCTTCTCCCCCTGCACCTCATGCTGGTGGGGCCGTGCCTGGACTGCAGCACCCTGTTAGTGTGGTTCTGTCCCTTCCACAGCTCTCCTTCCTCCTGCAGGAGACAGGCTGAGGAGCAGAGAGTGTCTACAGCAAGCAGTATGAAAAGAGACATTGGAGTAACTATATCTGCGTAGTGCTAAGAAGATTCAGGGTGACCCAAAGGGTGCCTGAAGGGCAGAAGGATGGTGGGGCTGGATTTGTGCTGATGGTGGTAGACAGAGCAGCAAGGGGCAACACCCACAGACTGCTGAGACCCTGAGAGGGTCACAGTGGAGGGTAGGAAAAGTGTCCCAAAGAGGTAACTGTGGTACAGTGTAAACCTTGAGGAGAACTCCTTCCACAGGAGTGTTCAAGACTCAGCTGGGCACAGCTGCAGCTAACCCAGTCTAGTACTGGAGATAAACTTTGTGAGGAGCTGGTGGCATGTTGAACCAGTTGATTTCCAAAGCTCCCTTTCACTTGACACTTACATGATTCAGAGGGATGCACTCTGTCTTGAAATGTAGGGGCTTCTGTGTACCACAAAGTTTTTACAGAGATGTCATATATAAAATATTTTCTATTAATAGAGGATCTGTAAATTTGAGAATAAATGTCACACAACCAGGACTAGATTAAGATTTCAGCTATGCATTTTTAAAGGTGTAAACAAATTAACTTTTTCATCTTGCAAAGCGATAAAAACATTGCATATTCTGTTCTACAGTGGGCTACATCTTCTTACAAAATGTAATCATCTAAGCTTTTTGAGAAATTGAGATGTTTACATACAAAATTGTGATTGAAAAAAATGAATGCTGTGCCTCTCATATTTTTATGGTGCTGTTGGTAGATGTTATGTGGTTGATGCTCTGAACTTTTTAACTTGGGTCTGTCTAAAGCTGTCTTAGCCTAAGCAGCCTTGCATGCAGCTCCTGTGGATTGCCAGGTGTCTGTAACCTGGTTGTAAGCCTGAGTCACTTCAGAGGTGCTGTGGGAAGATATGTTCAAACAAATGAAACCTCATGGAGTGCAACCTTATTTTATGTTCTTATTTTAGTTCCTCCCTTTGAAGCTGTGCTGCAGTACAGCAGAGGGTGCAGTTTTCTTTGTGCCTGCTAACGATTCACGGTACAAAGCACCTTTGTGGGAAAGGCTGCTGTGTGACCATGCTAGTTTGTATCATGGGTGCACTCCCACAGTGATTTTTGACCTAGTGTTTCTCTGCACAAGTGTAAAGTGCTTTAGTAATTTACATTTTTATATTTCCTTAGATTGAGAGTATTATTCCCTATAGTAATTTTTTTCCTTTTTTCTACTATTTGGGACCACACCAGCAGCTTCTCAGTGTGGTCTGGAACTTTGATTCTTTTACCTTTTGAGCTAGTAAAGTAAATATCCCAATATTAGATACTCTTTCTAAACCAGTCATGAGGTAAGGAATGAAATGTATTCTTAGAGCATTAAATTCTTTGTGTGATCAGGAGATAGGTGCAGGAGTGAGTCACTAACTCCCAGGCCTGCAGAATAACTTAACTTAATAAGCATTGCTAATGTTGAGACTTGATTTATCATCTGTTTTTTCAGCCCTCACAGAGCTAATGTGTACCTTTACTTACAGAGATATGTCACTGATTTATTTTCAAGTGCTTTTCAAAATAACAGCCTTATGTTCTTCCAATCTTATCTTACTTATGATGTTGTTACTGGTGTAATGTTTTGTAGTAATATTTGCATTCTTCTGAAATGTGTGTATTTCTCTAAAATTCAACATGATGTTCGAACAGAGGGTTTTCTTTGTGGGTCACTATGCCAAAGAAATACACTTGTCAAGCTTTCTCTCTTGCTAAGAACCCGAAACTCGTTTAACTTTCTTTTGTTTGATCAACAGGTAACACTTTGCCACAGGACATCACATGTTTGGCAGCAGATCGCATGCTGATATTTGCTTCATACGACAATATTCTCCATGCTTTTGCCAGGAACAAAGAGGTTTCTATTAGCTTACTTATTACTCAGTAGTACAAAACAGTTGTGTCGTGTCTGTGGTATCAAGGCAGTTAATTTTCTCTGAATGCCTATTTCAGTAGCTGTTTGGTACCTTCAGTTTTAGGGAAACAAGCTGTGAAATGAGGAGTCAAAGGCTTAAACTGGAACATAAGAGCAAATTCCATTATGCTGAACTGTGTTTCGCATATTAATTGGAATAATTAAGTAGCTATTTAAAGATTGAAAAAAATCATCAATTCACATAAGCTAAATTAATTGAAAATAATTTAAAATGCCTAGCTAGCATATTTTTTTCGAACAGTTTTAAATATCAGATACAATTAGCTCTCTTGCATTTCAAGTTGTGTGTCCTTTCCATGAATTTTATTTGAACTTGTTGCTGACATCTTTTAGTTGTCCTCAAGTATTATGTTAACATGATATTCTACCTTAACAGCTTATTAGAAGCATTTCTATTTTGAAATTATAGGTGGTTCATACCTATGAAGGCCACAAGGCAAAGATACACCTTCTACAGCCTTTTGGTGATCATGTCATCTCTGTGGATGTTGATAATGTTCTTATTGTTTGGAATATACAGTCAGAAGGTGAGAGATTTTATTTTTCTTGCTGCTTTATAGCATAGCACTGTTAGACATTCAGTAATTTAAGAAGAAGGGTGTTTTTTAAATGCGCACATTCAGATGCAATTTATTCTTAAAAAAGAAAATTCTTACATGATCATGCTAATTTAGTTGATCTGAAGTCCCAATCCTGCAGTAATGTTTCATTAATGGATACTCTGCCATGTGCAGAGGCTCAGTGAGATTCCGTGTAGATGTAAAAGAGAGAATGATTATATGAAAATTGCATTCTAGTGTTCCATTTTCTCATAAAGGCTGTGATAGAGCAGCTTTGGCATTATTTCTAATTCTTGTAATTCCTTGGTATCTAACAGACTGGGTATGACTAAGTGCTAATGTATAATCTTTTTGTGTGTGTCAGCATCTTCTCATGCCATTGTCAAGTGCTTTGCGCAATTGTGCTTCAGTGCCCCAAACATGTTTCTTTAGAAAGCATTCATTCGTGTGACCAGTGTTATTCTCTGCGTGCTGGTTCTTGAAAGTGTCTGTAACCAGGCTTTAGGAGTTTGGAGTTGCTATAACAAACAGGCATGCTAATCAGGTGAGGTGTTTTGCTCAGGCAGGAGCAGGAATCCCTCAGAAAGATATAAATCAGATAAAGATATGGTATTGCCAGTATTGTTGTACTGGATAGACTTACAGGGAAAAAGTACACCTTCAAGCCAACAGATGTTTACATTGTAAAGATGTTTAGCCTCTTCTGTTACATGTTAGCTAATCCTGTAAGAAAAATCAGTTGCAGATTTGAAGAGTTAAACATCTATCCCGCTTTTACATTTGCAAAGGGAGGACAAGCCTGCAGATTTGTAGGGGTAGCCACACTAACACTGTTTCTTGCTGTTTTTGCAGAAGAATATCTTCAGATAGATTTTGATAAAGCCACTTTTGCAGTTTCTGCACTTTTGCACCCCAGCACCTATCTGAATAAAATTCTCCTTGGGAGTGAACAAGGAACCTTGCAGCTATGGAATATAAGATCCAAGTAAGATTCTTGATACTTTGGCTGTGCTTCATGCTCCAAGTAGTTTGATAGGCAACAAATGATACTCTTAAAGTGTGGAATCTTTTACTGACTTCTGGCACAGGTTTTCAGTTGGTATATTTCCAGGAACAAGGAATGCTGCTGCTCCCTGAATGCTGATGCCTTTCAGGTTGTGTGTTGTAAGAGTAATCTCCTTGCAAAATGTCAGGGGCTGTTCAGGAATTTTTTTTTTTTAAATTTCCTGGAATCACATAGCTTTCACATGAAAGCTGTTGAAATAATAGTAAAAACATGTTCAGGCCTCCTGCCTCCCATCTTCCAAGCTTGATTTTTTTGGTTGTTGTGGGTCCAAGGAAGTGCTGGCAGGTAGAGTAGAGGTAATTACTAGCATTTGAGCTTAGATTCAGGTAAGAGATGCATAGGCATGCAGTTGTCTCTGAGCGTGTTCCAGTAGATCATCATCCATAATGTCAGTATTTCATTCCTACCACGAGCAGCTGCTTTTCTAAATCATGAAAGTTACAGGTACAGTGAGCTTTATTGCATTTAAACGTTCATGCTGCAAACACATGTTAAGTCAACTTGCATAAATCAGTGTTTCATTCTCCTGAGTCAGCTTGCCATGATATCACAGATATTTCATTTTTTCATATGTTCATGGCATATAGTTTTGTCATTGTTCTGGTATTAATACACAACACTGCCTTTTCAATAAAATTTAGCCATAAGTTTTGTTTTTAACCTTACTTCTTAGTATCACAGGCTTTCTGTATAAGTACATATAAAGCAATCACCATGTCACGGAAAATCCCCAAGGGTTAATTGATTTATAGGTTTTTTTATGTTTTTTTTCACAGCAAACTCTTGTACTCGTTTCCAGGATGGGGCTTAGCAGTCACAACTCTTGAACAAGTTAGTATTTTTCATTATCTTTTATTTTCATATGTAATTGGTCAAGAACAGCAGGCAAAATTTGGTTTAAAATTACATCAGTAAAGATGGCATGTATTCTCCCAGGTAATTATAGTAACCCTCTCTTGACTGAAGGTTTATTATCTGCTCTTCCTCTATTCCTAGTTCTGTTTTATTTGGCATCTTACCTGTTTTGTGTTCATCGTATCTATAGTCTTCACTGAATGATGTCATGAAGTAACAGAGATTTCAAGATGCAGGTGTATCATGAAGCTTCATGATGCTGGTAGTTTTTTGCCAAATTTGTTTTGCTTTGGAGTTTGATAAAGTGTAGATTTTCTTGATTCAATAAAAGATTTTGTAATGCATTTGCTATAATTTTTTTTTTAGATACAAAAGTAAGTTAAAACTTAACAGTAGCATTGATGACAGCTGGTGGAAATGGTCAGAGTTGTCTAGGATAAACTCACAAAAGCTCTGTTTTTCACAGTAGTCCCAGCTTCTAGAAACAGATTTTTTTTTTTTCATTTTTTGCAGGCTCCAGCAGTGGATGTTGTTGCTGTCGGCCTTGTATCTGGTCATATCATTGTACATAATATTAAGTTTGATGAAACTCTGATGAAATTTCAACAGGACTGGGGTCCCATCACAGCAATATCTTTTCGTACAGGTAAGTCGTAGTGTTTTTAGTGAAAATATGTATGAAAGCACTAAGATTAAAGAAATGGAGGAAAACACTTCATGATAAAACATTTCAGAATCAAATTTGTGCTGAGAGTTTCAGTTTCCAAAGGCTGAAGGTAGTCTAGAAAAGGTAGCAATAAGTGAGATCATGCATTTTCATCATGCTAAGTGTTTTATAGCATTTTCTTGTGTTCATATTGCATAGAAAGTGATATACAGTATACTTGAAAATAAAAGTTTGTTGACAGTGTGCCAAGAGCTGATACAGTACACAATTGTCAGAGGTATTGTAATCAGTACATCCTGCTTTAGTGTCCATACCTACTGCTCAGCAGTGTCTTACCCCCCTCCAAATGTTAGAATGTTAATAGTTGGGTGAATACTGAATGGATGTTACTGGGGAATCTTGACTTGTATTCACAGCTTTTTCTTGGCTAACAAACATGTCCTAATTATTAGAGCTAGTTATTCTAATGTTGATCCTGCCTGCAGAGCTGTTGATACCGAATCTAATCTCTCATTTGAATAATCTTGTGAATCTTAACAGAATATAGATTGAGTGCAGACCCTGTTGAGGAGGAATGATACAGGAGAAAATTTTGGAAAGACTTGTGAGAAGTAGAAAGAGAGCCTTTTTGTGTCAATACCTATTGTGTTTTCAAGCAAAATCTCTGACTGCTGGATTTAGAGATTTTGTTGTTCTCTGATATGAAAAAGTAATATTTTTTTAATCAGTGAGTTTTGTTTCTTTTCTGATAGACATATTACAATATTTCTGTTAAAACCTATATTATTTCTAGCATTAGCTTGAGATTTCTTTTTCCTTGTGGTTATAGACTTGTCTAGCATCAGTTTTAAGATGTGACAAGACAGTAGGGATGAGCTGAATGTCAATAAGCAAACCTTTTGAACTTTTTTTTTTTTTTTTTTGAGCAGATGGACACCCAGTAATGGCAGCTGGAAGCCCAGTTGGACACATTGCTTTGTGGGATCTAGAAGAGAAGAAGCTGATGTGTCAGATGCAAGATGCCCATTCCACAGCAATAGCTGGCATGACATTTGTCCCTGGGGAGCCACTTCTTGTTACTAATGGTGCTGATAATGCTCTACGCGTGAGTTACAATCTCTGCTGCTCTCTGAAACCAGTACAACAAAACTCAGGTTGCTGGTTTGAGTTGGACTGTAGTGGACTGTAGTTTAAAGATTTGCTGCTATGTTGTCATTGCTTCATTTACTGCTTTGTGTAGTACCCTTGAAGAACAAAGCTTTGGATCCACATTTCCAGAACCAGACTTTATATCCCAGTATGCTTTTAAATCTTTATCCATTTTGATAATGTTTTGGATCATAAGCAGTTGCTGCTGATAAAAGTCCCTTATGCTGCATGTCCTCTGATGCCACTAGGCTTTGGTGGAAGGGCAGAATGAACAGCAGGAAACAAATAAAGTAATGTGATGGAAGCTTCCAAAGTTTGAGGGTTAAGGCTGAAAGCCAGTGTGTGAAGTTGGCTGCACCAGCTCCCAGAGAAACACGTTCTGCTGACAAGAGGTGCAATTATTGGCAAGGCAGTGTTTGTCAGCCTGGTTTTTTCTGCTTATTTTGGGGTACAGATTTGGATTTTTGATGGGCCTGGTGGTACAGGTCGTGTACTGAGAAGCCGAATGGGACATAGTGCACCACCAACAAAAATCAGATATCACGGGCAAAACGGAGAGCAGATTCTTAGTGCAGGTATGAGTTTCCATTCTTCTTCAGTCTGCTTTCTTGCTGTGATAAAGAAAATGTGCAGAGCTAAGTGTCTTTGTTTTATTAATACACTAGATTATATTTCAAGTGTTGTATAATGTGTTTATGAAACATAGTAAGTGGCTAACATAAACAGCATAATTTATTACTGTAACAAAGTGTTTCACTAGAGTTTTCCTACTCTAGTAGGAAACTAGTGTTTCCCTAGAGTAACACATCCGCAAGCTGAAGAGTACTTGAAAGCAGAATAGCAAAGGAGCTACTCTTATCATCCATATTTATATATTTGATGAATAAAAATGGTTTTGTTATCTTCTGAGCAAGTATTAGCTGGTCAGAATGAAACCTGTAACAACTCAAAAAATTTGGTTGTGGCAGGGGAAAAATAAGCAGTGTAATGCATTTAGTAACTACTTTTCCACTAGTTTGATCAAGCTTTGTGGCTTGCACTGTCTTTGTAATATATTGCAGCATACTTGTATCTGTAATATATATTTTCTAGGTTGATTTTAACTGAGATATTAATCTAAAAGTGTAAAATTGCATAAGTGACTACCCTTCCTTAGAAACTAGCATATTTAAAAAGACCCCTTAGGCAAGGGAAGTGCTGGTGTTTTACCCTAGACCACTTAGGTGATGAGATGATAGAGACTCACCACCTGGTCTTGAATTACTCTTAAGAAATTAATTGTATGGCCTACTTTTGAAGTCATTACTCTACCTGTACTAAAATCTCTTGCTAGTCATCCAGCTAGTGACTTGTATTCATGTAATGAGTTATTGTCTGTATTTCAGCTCACACCAGACAAACCACAATCTCAATCTTAAGTGCTGCTTAACAAATCTTCACATTTGCTTTTTCAGTGGTGAAGGCACAAACACAACCTTTACAATGAAAAGGGACTTAACCTTTGAGATCTGATGTATCTGCGGTGCAGAGAGACTGACACTCTGCCCTCCTTTCTGAAACAGTGATCAAACTTTGTGCAGCAGAAGTGATTTAGAGTTGCCTTTCATGGGCTACTGGTTTCCTTAGAAGAGGCATCTCCTCAGATTAACTTCATAAAATTTCATTAATGTCACGAACATTATAGAGTCAGAGGAATTGAACATACAAAAGATGTCTGTGAAGAGGGGTCATTCTGATAATGTGCAGGGCAGAGTTGTAGGAATGGGATGTAGAAAATTAGGTTCCATTAGTTCTGCCACTTAGAGTGTATCTGTATTTATTCTTGGACCGGAATTTTTAGTAAATACCTTATTACAGTGTTTAAAGTTGCTTATTGCTTACCTTTTACTTTTCTTGCTCAAATAGCTTATATGTAAAGTTGATTTTTGCCCTTCATTTGCTCTGTGCTAATACTTTCTTAGGTCAAGATGGAACATTGCAATCTTTTTCAACTGTGCATGAAAAGTTCAATAAAAGTTTAGGACGTGGTAAGTATCTCAGTCAAAGTACAAACACGAGTGAAAAGAAGGCCAGAAAAGCATATATGTAAATGTTAGTCAGGCCTTATTTTCATTTCAGCTGTTCTATAAAACCTAATCACCTCTCCTTATTCTGCAGACTCAGTCCTTCCTGCAATAAGTGTGCTGCCATATTTGATTATACTTTTAAAAAAGAGATTTCTGATCATGGCAGTGTATGTTACTTCACTGTGGGAAACACTGCGTGATTTTTGTATGACATTTTGTATGAGCTGCACCAGCTCCCATTTCAACATATGTAATTGCAGCTTTTTACCCTGTTTCCATTCTGTTCAGTTGACTAAATGATTAGCCAGTTCTTATTTCTTGGCTTGAGTTCTTTTGATTCAGTGTACAGTTTGACTTAAACACAACTTGCGCATCATGCCATGGTTAAGGAACACTTTCATTTGGGAGAGCAAGGATCAGAAAGATTCAAATTATTCTTAGTTTTAACTATCTGTCCATGTTGTTTATATGTATTTGGACCTGTTTAAAAAGATGCATAAAAGTGAATTTGGGCATTAATTTGAAATTCAGGATTCTTTGGTTACTGAAAGGTCTGGGTGCTGTTTATTACTTTATATAGTCATGTCTATAGGACCACATTTTCAGCTGTGATGGGGGAACCTTTGCCTCAGGATTTCAGCACAAGATCCTGGAACAAGTAGATTGAGTAGTGAATTCACAGCTGTGAATGTAAAAGTGGTGATTTGCTCAGCATTGCATGAATTTTAACACAAACTATTAGTGTTCTTAGCTCTACAAACCTAGGGAACAGGATTGTGTTTATTTAAGCCAAATGTTTCTAAATTTAAAAGGAGCGTTGCATTTTGTTAACAGTCCCTTTTAAACCATTACTCTCAGTTCTGACAATGAGACTAAGACCCTTAATGTCTATTTTTAAGGTTCAATTAATAAAAAGAAATCAAAAAAGAAAGGCCTTAAGCTGGATACGATGGCACTTCCACCAATTATAGCCTTTGCTTCAGGTGAGTGGTCTTTGACATAGGTTACAAATTAAATGTGAGTATGTTATCTTCATGTATTAATTTCAGTTTTTAACCTTCAAAACACTATTGTTTCGGAAGCACATGCTATATCTAGATTATTCTGTGGCCTTTCGTGAGCTACTGAGTGACAGTTAAAAAGTGTGTTTGACTTGGTAAACTGTTCCAATATCTCAAAAAGAGGATTTTATGTTAAAACATCCTTATCTGGCTCTTGGCTTGAAAATCTCCTGCATGGGAACCAAAATCTACAGATATACATATTATTTAAGGTTGCAGAGCCAGCAGCTAGGTGGAGGATGATCTTTGTCAGCTGAGGAAGTCTTAGTTACACTTACAGTTGGTTTTGAGTCCTCAGTACACTTATTTGAGTCATTTTTTAAAGCTGAATTTCAATAATCAGTTCATTTGTAATTCAGTATGCAGTAATGAATCTAACTTCTTTAGGAAGAATTACAATTATATTTGCTTCATCAAAATGTGCTTCTTTGAATTAATGACCTCTTCAGACTTGAAATCTCTTTTGTCAGAAGTGTAGGTATTCTCTCTTCTGAGGATGTTTTATTGTTTCCTATGTTGAAAGATCTGGATTTACAATTTTGTGGAGCCATTTGACTTCTGTGGTATAGACTGTCTGTACACTCTTGTTGCAAGAATGTGTGTAAATTTTTAAGATTTATATTTAAAATCAATTAATTTTAAAATTAGAGCTGCCTGTATTTGAAGACTTGAAACCTCCACTTACTTAAATACATTGTTTTCTTTGTTCTCTTTGTTCAGTTAAGTGAACCAGTTTGTATCTTGTTTTAATCTTTTAAGTTCTAGAAGTACCTAGTTTCAAGCTCTCAATTTTTTTAAATTTCCAGGAAAAAAATCAAACTTGCTCATTATTTAGATCTCCATATCTCATATTTGACTACAAAGTTTGGATACTGAGCTTTTGATAAACAATTTTCCTGGAAACACAAAAGCAGTATTTTGCTATGTGAAGCAGATTTAGCTCTTAAACCTGACATTATCTGGTGGCTTCTGCTGCTTCAACAGCTGAAGAAAAAGTTAAAGACACTCAGCTGGAAATGTGTACAGATTGAGCAGTCTAAACCATTTAAACCAGTTTAAAACATTTACATTGAAATATGCATTTCAAACTGCAGAGGTTAAAATGTACAAAAACACAGAGCATAATGTGCAAAACAGTGCTTGAGGTTTTGTTTTAACATTTTATTTACACTACACATGTACAGCTGCTTGCCCTGTGGTATTTCTGAGTGGTTGCCTTTTGAGTGTGTAACAAGAACACTAAATATTAACTGTTCTGTTTAAAATATCAAGAGAGCTGAAGTTTGACCTTAGAGTTACTGTTTCTAAAAGGACTCTGTGTTTCCTTGCAGAGGTGGCACATCAGAGCGACTGGGATGGTATTGTTGCCTGCCATCAGGGGTATATAACCTGTACAACCTGGAACTATCAGAAAACCTCCATGGGAGCTCACAAACTGAGGCCAGAAGAATTTAGCAAACACAAACCTATTGATATCTATGCAACAGTAAGTTTACTTGGGATAAGATTTCCTCAGATTAACAGTGTATGTATGCTATTTTGATTCCTGTTGGTACAGAAATAATCCTTAGAATGAAAAAGCACAGTCTAGATGTGTTTTAGTTGCTAGAAGAGTGCTTTCTGCCAGCTCACTGAGCTGGTTTGTAATGCTTATGATCTTACAAAAAGCTGTTCTTTTCCCCTAAACATTCAGGTTAAATGCACTTACTTTCTGGCTCAGAGAGGTGGTTGGTGTTTACCTTTAGTCTGTCACAGCAATGTAGAGTTGTCTGTATGCCTGTGCTGATTAACTTACTCTGAGAATGCAGATTACTGAGCTTTTTTTGGCAGTACTGGGAAGTGTATTTCCAAGTTGCAAGAAGGATATTACCTCAAAAATCCTTTACAACTTGAGCTGGTCACAATTGTCTCAAACACACAGTGAAGGGGATACAAATGTTTGCTGAGGTTTACCAGCTTTTTATAGGAGGAATTGCTGTGGCACCCCACATTTTCTAGGGGTTAATGCAACTCCTATGTCTTGTGATACATAGTTTTTTGACATTTTGCTTAGTAGTTAGGTGTTAGATAAATTAAATTGTAAATATCCAGTTTTCTTTTGATTCTATTAGATTCTATTAGAATCTACTAGATTCTTTGGACTGTATCTTTCCAAAGAAGTCTAGACTGTTGTTTCTTTGTTTCTTCCTATTGAAACTCTCTGTGACCTCACCCTAACTTGGGTGGGTATTGGTAAGGCAGGCATTGAAAGAGCAGTTTCCATGCTTGCCGTTTGTCTTAAGGATTGAATTTGTGGCAATCTTTATTATTTAATTTACAATGCTGATAATATTACCTATGGCTTCTTTTGGATGCCACTAAGTTAGGATTTCATTATCTTTCACAACCATGCATTGCCATATTTATTACATGTTGACTATTTGTTCATTTTAAGAGCTTCTCCCTCTGCTCTCTTGAGATGTAATTTATTTGTTTTGTGCAGGTTTCCCCAAATATGTACTAGTGTTTTGTATTCCTGATATTCTGACAACTTCCCTACTTGACAGACAGCTAAAGAGTGGTTTTCATAGGTGCTTTGTGTTGTTGATTGATTTTTTTTTTATTCCCTTGAAAGGCAGTTGACATTACCTCATGTGGTAATTTTGCTGTGATTGGGATGTCAACTGGACAGGTAGATGTGTATAACATGCAGTCTGGCATTCACAGAGGGTATTACGGCAAAGAAACAGGTAAGGGCTCCTAAACTTCCCAAACACTGGCACTTAACAGAGCAGCAGTCACCTTGTGTTCTGTCATCATGAAAATTCAGTGTAGGTTCTGAGTTGAATTTGGGATGCATTCCAGTTTTTCTAATTATGGTGCCCTGTCCTGTCTTGCAATCAGAAACATGACTTGAAGGACAGGATCCTTGATAATTTTAACAACTCTGATGTTAACATATCCCTGGTTTTATTTAAAACAAAGTTGTCAGTTACCACAATGATTAGCACTTAAATGAGATACTCTGGCCTCCACTCTTTTTGAGATAGTCACATTTTCAGTATTTGGCTTCTTGTTTTATAGGATTCTGTCTCCTAGGTAAATGTTCCCATCTGTTTTGTGCTCCCTGCTTAGAAATGGAAGGAAAATTGAAGTCCTGAGCAAGTCCAGCTCTTTGCATATGGTGTTATTTTTTAATTACCCATCTGCAAATTTAGGACATAATGTGACTGTGCCCTGACATTTCTTTTAGATTTCCATACATGTATATTTTATGTATATTCCATATACTCTCATACATGGTTTTTTGGCACTCATGATCTGAATTTTTTTCTTTTAGAAACAAGGAAAGAGTCCTGCTGAGCCCTTAAGATTACTGGATTTCTAAAAGCCAGCTAGCTTAGCAAACATGAAGTAGTCTCTTTATAAAATCATTGCTTGATAGTGGGATGAATTTTCTAAATTAGCTTACTGGCCAGTAGCCCTAGGTATAGATTAAGAAATAAAATTGATCCAAAACTAGAGGAGCTATGTCTTGTCTTTACACTGCAGTGTGAAGCAGCTTTGGAAAGCTCCCAGACTTTGTGCCTGAGCTGAAGCTGTAAATTTTGTCTGGAGTGGTGGTTCCTCTTGGAGGCATCCCTGAAGTGATTCAAAAATCCTTCAAATCTCACAATCACAAAAACTTCCCCAAACTGAAAGCAGAAATAAGAGCTAACACTCATCTTCGATTGCACTTCTTGCTTGTATCCTAGGTGTTTACTTGAAATCCATTTGGTTTGTGTAGAGATAAAAAAAACCTAGAATGCTGGAGCATCTTGACAAGTGGCTTTCGAATTGCCATATGCTTGCTGATTATTCATTGTAGTCAGGCAAAGATAAACAAACCAGAGTTTGGTATTCAGCTGATTTCTGTGCTAAGTTTAAATTCTGAAATAATACCCTTTTTTCTCTTGATTTGCAGCACATGAAGGGGCCATTAGAGGGGTAGCTGTGGATGGATTGAACCAGCTGGTAATCACAGCTGGTAGTGAAGGATTAATTAAATTTTGGAAATTCAAAGTGAAAGATCTGGTTTATTCCACTGAACTTTCTTCTTCTCCAAGTGGAATTCTGCTGCACAGAGATAGGTAAGAAACTGAAGTTATTTCATGTGTACAGCGTTTGGTGAATGTATTTATCTAGAATGGCAACCAGTACTCTTAATTAGAATATATTAGAATTTATTCTTCTAATGCTTTGAAATACAACTGACTAGTAGACAGAGGATGACAGGACATTTTATTAGACTGAAGGAATGTAAGACTTGTTATTTTTAGGATAAAAGATACCTGGAACAATGTTAGGATGTTTTTTGTCTCTTGAGTATTCTCTCTCATGTGTGTTGATGTTTCTTGGCAGTGGTATTCTGGGAATTGCCTTTGATGACTTCACTATTAGTGTTTTGGATATAGAAACCAGGAAGATTGTCAGGACATTCTCAGGACACCATGGACGGATTAATGACATGGTAATTGTTAACTCATTTCCTGTAACAGGTGCCATACACAGATACCTAACAGATTTTACAGCTGGTGGATTTCTCTGCATTTATTAAATCACTGGATATTACGTTCACTCTGTGAGCAGTAAAGCTGTAGTTCAGCTTCACAGCACTTTTAGTCACCTTTAATTTGGAAATGTAAAGTGGCCAAATTGCCATCTGTTTTTTAATCTGCTTTGTGATTTAACAATAGCTTTAAACTGTAACAGCAAGCTGATTTGGGGGTCAAACAAAACAAAGCACTGGGAATAATGAAAATTGCATTGAGGAGCAAAACTGCAGAAATCTCAGCTGTGTATATAAAAAAGATAACAAACTGAAAACATCTGAGATTATGCAGCACATGGATAATTCCTTATTTACATCTTATGTAATAGTTCATGGTACTGTTAACTGAAATAGTTTTTAGCTTCAAATTTATTTATAAATGCTACTAAAATAGTATTTACTTGACTTACTCAACTTTATGCTTAGAAATGGGTTTCCACCATGAACATAAAAGTGACGACTGAAGCACTGTGACTAACTGTGAGATACATCTTGTGCTTTATGTTTGAGCCTCTTCTTAAAAAGCTTCTGGTTTTGTTCTTTCTTCACTTCCAGTCGTGTTACTGTCAGTTTTGGCTTATGGCCATACCATTTCACCTGGGTTTTAGGGAGCAGTCTGATCTTGGCAGGGCCTCCTGTGGGGACTGGCTTATTGGTTGTGCCATTAAATTGACTATTTTATTGTAGACTTTCAGTCCTGATGGTCGTTGGCTGATAACTTCATCAATGGACTGTTCCATTAAGACTTGGGACCTTCCCTCTGGATGGTGAGTAAATTTTAAAACATACAGCACAAGAAACAATCCCCTTTCTGATAAATGGCAGAAAGCTTTCTGGCTTGATTATCTGTCACCAGATGTGTTGCACATGATAAAACAATTCTGCCCACTATTTTAATTGTACTCAGTGTACATGATGCATGTCTTTTTCTGGGTCTACAGAATAACACTGTCCTGAAGATCTGTTGATGACACCTGGAGTTTCCATGTGCTCTGAATGAGTGTGAATTTGTTCTTTGTCTAGAAGCAGCACTGTAATCTAAAGGGCAAGAGATTGCTTCAGGTGAATTGCACTGTGATATGCTGAAGTGTTGACAGGATCAAAGAATGGTTGGAGTTGGGAGCAAAAATCCAGTCCAACTATCTTGATATGGAAAGGAACTTTTCTCACTGGATCAGGTTACTCAGAGCCCCAGCTTAGCCTTGAACACCTCCAGGGCTGGGCCATACACTGCTTGTTCATGCAGTCTGTTCCAGTGCTCAGCCACCCTCATCATAAGAAAATTCTGCCCTGCATACCATCTAAACCCACAGCCTTTCAGTTCAAAGCTGCTGGCCCTTGTTCTGTCACCACAGGCCCTGTTAAAAAGTCTCTCTGAGTCTTCCTTGTAAGCTCCCTTTACTATTGAGAGGCCACAAGGTTGTCTCCCCCAGAGCCTTCTGTTCTCCAGGGTGAAGAACCCCACAGCTCTCTCATTCTCCTGATCAGAAATATGTTCCAGGCCTTGAGTAATTTTCCTGGAGCTGCTCTAAGTTCATGTGTCTTGTGCTGGGGGCCCCAGAGTTGGATGCAGTACTCCAGTTGGTTTTGTAAAGAGAAGCCTGTTTTCACTTACATTCATTTTAACAACACAACATGGCTTTACATCAGTTATATTTTTCATTTGTTTGTACTTGCAACTGCCAAAAATACACTCTTGTGATCCACCATGAGTAGTCTTCTCCCAGAATAAAGTTTGGCTGAGAAGTAGGCAAGTACACACAAGAAGTTCAGAAGCCCAGAAAAAAAAAAAAACCAGACTGAGAAATAACTGCGTTCTGCCAGTGCATTCTTTCAGCAGCATATCAGATAGATTTTTTTTTTTTTAATTTAAGGTAGTGCTGTGCAGTGTGCAGCTCTGGTGGTTGTGCCTGGAACTGAAAGGTTTCAGTTTGGTTGATTAGTTTTGTTGACATGGTTTGGTAAATAATTTTGTATACTAATAATTTTGTAAAAGTTCTCATTTTACTACCAGAAGTGCATTGCATCTCAACAAACAATTGGCCTCTTCTTGTATGATGAGAGCCACTAAAATAGTCTTAAATAGGACAGGATGGATATTATGTGCTTTGTTTCTATGGATGGGAAGGAAATTAGCACTCTGGTCTTCATCTTTCTAACACTCTTTCCCTTGCAAAGTAATATGCCTACAAAAAATTGCAGCATTAACTAGTATCAGTTTCTTCTGGTTTTCATTTCTTCAATAACCTAATACTTAACAATAAGAATCTATTTATAATGTTTTTAAAAGCAGTCTGACAGTAGTTCTCTTTTACATGTAAAAAAAAATTAAATATTTTGTCTCTTGTCTCTAAAATTCAGGTCAAGCTGAAATCCAGGCAGGTAGATGACAAACCCGGGTTTTAATTGTAATTAGGTTATTATTCTTCCAGTGTGTAAAGGCAAGGTTTTCCCATAACTATAGGCAGAGGAGTGTAATGAAAAGGAGGAACAACTTTTAATAAATGGCTTGATGCTTGCTTTACCTCTGTGACTCATAAGTAGAGAAATCATCTCATGAACTGTGTATTCTAAAGCCTCAGCTTTGATATTGTTTTTACAAAAATATGGAGAACATGTTTCTGGAATCCAACATTACAAAAATTACCACCTGACTTCAATAATGGTCTGACATCTATTAACTGGACATCTGTTTTTGCTTGGGAGTGGTGCTTAGCTGTCCATATGTAATGCAGTGCAGGTCTTCCTAGTGCATGTTTTTAATGTAGGGCTTTTTTAAAACTGGGAAAAAATGATGACTGTATACAGAAAGTTACAAGCAGGAGCCCAGGCACTATGCATCTATTTCTTTCTGCTGTGCAGCTTGCATAGAAAATTGAGGAGTCAGGGGTATGAGCTGACTGTTCATGGATGAAGCAGTTAAGAAAAAACAGCTCAGGAGACCTATTAAATGTGAGCTCAGCATTATACTTTCCATTGTCACAGTTTTGCAGTTAGGCAGGAACCATAAAGGTAGATGCCTTCAGCCCCAAGGCAGGATTCATTTAGCTTTTTGTGTAAAAAATACAAATGTATCTAATTTCCTAGAGTAGATTGATCCCACAAGCCAGTAATTTTAATCATGATTTAAGTTCAGTAAGTAGAAAAACTTAATTTGTTGTTAAATTTGTTTTGGAGCTCTTTGTGGTTGATTTACTGAACAGAATTTCTCAGTTACAGGCAAGGATTATCATAAAAAGATGGATTTGAAACTAAGAGAAAGTATCTAGGATAAATTTTTTCTTGCCATTGTGCACTGTGTACAGAATGTATCTGATAAAAGTTTGGGATTTATGGGTTTAGTATTTATATATTTTATATTGAAAGTGATGAATGATTTTTCTCTTACCTGAGATTTGCAGCATCTAAGAAAATGCATAGGGAATAAAACACTCCAAGGGGAAAAAGGCTTTTCCTTTTGACATGCTCTCTCAAGCCATCACAGGAGTGCTCAGTAGCTAAGAAAATACATGCCCACAAGATTTTACATTTTAAAGTTCTGTGTTACATCAATATTTTTTCTATGGTTAGTGAACAGAACAGGGCTGTTGAGCTGTAAACAAGAACAAAGTACTCACACTCTTCGTTTATTCTTTTTGTTTCTCTTGGTGAACTGGTTGTCAAATTAAATCTTAATTTAAACTTTAACTTAAAATTTAAAGTAACTGAAATTTCTATTTCAGCAAGAGACAAGCAGTGCTGTCAACCTGGGCTTGAGTGGAAGTCTGCTAGAGAGTGCCTCATCCAGAACTTAAATGTCTCATTGTTAAAATAGTTGCACAATAACATGTTACTATAATGTTATTATAGTTGTATTTTAACTTTTGTTTTCACATGGTATTTTTTCAATTTTCCGCAATCATGAAATAAATGATTAAGAAATGGTTTATCAGGCTGAAGATATAGTAATGCCAAAACTGATGCAGATAATCAAACTTCACATTGTGCAGTTCATATTTTATTTTAGAAACATGTGCTAGTATTAACCAGGTGTACATGGAGTGTGCTGAGAGCAGGAATTGTCAGTCTGAGCAACTGTGGCTAAATGGAAATTCAGAATTTATGGCCAGCAAAAGTTTTGTGTTAGGCATAAGGAGTTGACTGCTTCATCACATATTCTCCATGTGTAGATGTCTAAGGAGGCGCCAGCTTTATCTGACTTTAGAGCATTTTGTAGAGACTTTGTTGCACAGTGCTGTTCACTTGCTTTGTTTATATAATATATTTGGATTTGTGTGCAGATAAACAAGTTTATCTTGCTGATAATTTCTCTGTTGGTTTTTTTTTTCCTCCATAGTCTCATAGATTGTTTTTTGGTAGACTCTGCAGCTGTGAGCCTTACTATGTCCCCTACGGGAGATTTTCTGGCTTCAGCACATGTGGATGATCTTGGAATTTATTTGTGGTGAGTATGTAATCTGTTTCTACTTAGAATTTAGGATGGGACAGAGTTCTTTTAATCACCTTTATTGAAAATAGAGAATTACCCTGTGAAGTATCATCTCCAGTGTTTTGTGTTCTATGGTTCTGATTAGGACAGATGTTCTGTATTGCTCTGATTCCTAAGTCATGAAATTTCCACAGTTAAATTACTTATTCAGATAGTTTAAACTATCTCTTTTTTCTAAATGTTTCTTACTCTTAAGGGTTCCTGTTATGCCATTTGTAAAGTTTTCCTAGACTCCATTTCCTCCACTGCTTTGAAATGTCTTTGTTCAAATAGTGCTTCTTTCTGAAGTGCTCTTCTTGTCCTGCTGTCTGAGACTTCTGGGCAGTATATGAAAGTTGTGATTATTTTTCTTTATTAGTGATAAATGAGCACAGAAGTAAAATGTGGTTTTGTTCAGTTTCCTCCAGATACAGCTTTAAAGCAAATGACTGTTCAGGTCCAGTACTGAAGTGACCCACTGTTAAAATGGCTTGGGTCTTTTTTTCCATTTAGCTGACAGATTATTTCAGGTTATATATGTTGGCTGTAGTTTTGTGTGAGTGTTCAGTTGTTAGGCCTTCCTATTGTTAAGTGCTTCCTTGTGAATAACAGCAGATGTTTTTACCTAGCCCTAGTTTATATTGACAAAAGAAGCAATTTGCCAGAATTATTTGTGTGCATGTTTCAAACCTGAAGAAAATTTGCTAAGAGTATTACCCTAAAATCCTGTGAAAGCAGGATGAATAATTTACATTTGCATAATGTGTTCAGCCTGGAGAAGGCTCTGGGAGACCTCAGAGCCCCTTCCAGTGCCTAAGGGGGCTCCAGGAGAGCTGGGGAGGGGCTTTCGACAAAGGTCTAGAGTGACAGGAAAAGGGGGAATGGCTTCAAACTGAGGAAGGTAGATTTAGATTACACATTGTAAAGAAATGCTTGATTGTGAGGGTGGTGGAACACTGGCACAGCTAAATATTCTTTTTGGCCATCAGGACCAGGGCAATTATTGCCCCTCTCCTGGGCACTGGTGAGGTCACACTTCAAATTCTGTGTTTAGCTCTGGGCCCCTCACTTCAATAAGAACATTGAAGTTCTGCAGCCTATTATTATGTTCTTAGCAATAATACTTGAACATAACATTTATATTTCAGATGTTCAGGTGAGTCTATTGCCATACTTAATTTCCTGCTTATCTGGTTGATGAGGAGAGCTAATCTTGAATAGAGCCTGCTGAATTGCCATGCTGCAGCAGTATTAGACTGCAGTATAAATTATGTCTGAAGTACTTGTTCCCATTCATCTGGAGATGGCTTTTAAAATGCCTGACTTATTTTTTCAGGTCAAACCGTTCTCTGTATTCACTTGTGTCATTACGGCCCCTTCCTGCAGATTATGAACCATCTTTGGTGACCCTCCCCAGCAACTGCCCCATGCAAGGTAACCCTCAGACGAAAGAATGTTCTGTTTTTCCCTTGCAGTTTGCTCCCCCTTCTTGTATGCCACAGATTCATTGTGGGTATCTTGTTGGCAAGAGGATGGGGTTCAGCTGACCTGGCATGTGCCTGTGTCCAGTCAAAGAAAGGCCTAAGTGGAATTTTTTGCTAAATTAATAGAAGTGATTGTGCGTCAGAAGTCCTCTAGATGGAGATCTTGTCTGCCCACGTTTGGAGTGCCTGCATTTGCATCTCCATCTGGAGGGGAAGCACACCTAGTTGTTGGCCACTAGAGCATGCCTCATGGTGATGGCTGCTATAGCAAGCACATACTTGCTCTACATACTTAAACTGGGGAGACAGGAATTCATCCCAGAACTTTGAATATTTTTGTCCTGATTCCAACTGAAAGCTTTAATCCACTTTGTGTCTTCAGCAAGTGTAAAGTTCCTGCTTGGATGCTAAGGGCTCTTAATGGGTTACATTCCTTTGTTGTTTCAGGCTTGTCTATTAGATTCATTGTTTTAGCCAAGTAATATTTTACAAAAAGAAAGGAACACAGACCTGTTTGGTCAAGATCACACAGAGAAAAGAGAAAATTGAGTGACCGATATTATAACTTACCTTGTGGGACATTGTGCTTTAATGTTGAGATTTTCTTCATTTTTATGTGCCACTCCAGTCATACCTATGAAGAGGTTGTGATGAGGTAGTGAATTTGGTGCAAGGATCTAAATGCAAGGATTTCTCAGCTTTATTATGTAGAATTAAAATTACTGTGTATATATTTATTCAGAAAGAGCAACAGATTACTGTCAAAATTTTGTTTTCTTTAATAAATCTGTAAACTGCTTTTATATAACTTCAATCAAAGTGGACATATCTTATCAGTCATTAAAAATTTGTTTCTTAAATTCTACATCTTAGCTATAATATTTAAAATTATTTAATATTTCATAAGGCTAATACAGATTGTTTCTGTAGCTTTTTAGCTCAATGTTATGTTAGCACCTATGTCTATAACTATTATGCATTTTTTATTCAAAAATTGCAAAAAAAGTAAAAGTGTTGGGCTTGACTTTTTACGAAATGAACGTGGAGTATGAATGTTCATAAAGGATATCTGTTTCTGCAAGATGCGGATGTGTCAGGAGATGAAGACCTATGTGATGAAATGATAGAATATGTCTCACCTGAGCAACTGGGAGAGCAGCTGGTGACCCTTTCCTTGTTACCGGAATCTAGGTGGAAAAATCTCCTCAACCTTGATATTATCAAGGTACTGAAACTGCAAAAAACAGCATACATCCATACATTTGCCCTATTTCTATGAAATGCATGAAACTTGATCCTGCTTTTCAAGTGTTATTCAAGATTTTGCATTAGAAGTCTATGTGGTGCTTTTCAGTTCCTGGGATTTGGGACAGGGGTTGTTTTTCTGCTAATTAGTAGCTTCATAATTAGTGGTAAAGGATTTTACTTGTATATTTACTTTTCAGTTAGTCTTCATAGTTTTCACAGTATTTTAAAAAGGAAGCTATTTACAAACAAAATATTCCCACATGCTCTTACTATGATGGTAATGATTTTAATTCAAATATCTAATTAACAGAAAAAAAATAAACCAAGAGAGCCACCAAAAGTTCCAAAGTCAGCACCTTTCTTCATCCCAACACTTCCTGGTCTTATACCCCGATATATTGCACCAGAGGAGGAAAATGATATACAGGTAAAAACAAGAATCAATGTAATTGTATTTATATAGTGTATTTTATAAGAAATCGCGAGTGCTTTTTAATGTTTGGTTAAATCACTAGACTTTAAAGAACCTGTTTTAACTCACTGTACTATTGCTTTATTTCTCAAAGTCTTACTCTTTCAGTAGAAAAATAATGTGATTGAATTGTAAAAATGTGTTTGCATATTCATGGACACACTGCTGTGCTTTTGTGGTCTAGTCAAAGGTGGTAAACCTTGGGATACTGGCACAGAAATCTGATTTCTGCATTCATCTTGAAGAAGCCCTGAGCACCAATCAATGTAAGTTCATGAAATATTTCATTAAAAATGTTGATGCTGCTTTAATTTTGATACGTATGTGATTTCTAATGTCAGAATTGTAACAGATGTGAGAAAAAAAATACTCATACTACAGTATAATACCTAATACACAGATAGCCACACTAGAACAAAAATCCATTGGTACTGCAGCCTGTCTGCAGCATGGAACCCAATTCTGGCTAAAACCCTTACGGAGAAAGAAGACTGGGTTCCTTTTTCATTAACCTTTTTTGAAAACTGATGATATCACCCCGAAAAGGTGCTATGCATTATTTCTGGGAAAAGGAAGGGAAGAAGGAAGGAATTGATTTGAAGTAGACCTATTTGAAAGGAATAGTCTGGTGATTCACTGAAAAATGAAAGGCATAGTGTGCCTAACAAGTTCTCCTTTCAAGGGTTACTTCACCAGACAGTGAACTTACAGTGTTAATTCATTGCCCTATAATTTAAAGCTTTAGAAGAAATAAATTATACAAAAATAAGGTGTTGGATTTCTTTGAACATTCAGTTTATTTTGAAATTTAATCACTTAAACTACCAGTGGAATGCACCAGCTGTTTTTTATGTTTATCTTGTGATGCTACAGAATCATTGAAACTCAGATTTTTAAAAATAATATAGCCGACTTGGAAATGTAAATGGACAGTAGTTTGTCCACAAGCAGTTCTGTGGGGAATTCTTCTACCCCTGCTTAAACTCTCTTGAGATGACCAGCTTACTCAAGCAACTTAAAACATTTTGTGTGCAGAACTTCATTATCTGTCACAGACAAGGTGTGTTCTGCCTCACTTGTAGTATTTCGATCGACAGTGTTCTATTGAAGTGCCTCAGAGCCACTCAGAAGAGGTGAATGTTTAAAAACCTTGTGGAGCTGGCTCTACCAGCGAGCAAGTGCACTTTGGTATGCTTGGACATGTGGACCTGCCTCAGGCCACCCCTGCTGTAAGGCCCAGGGTCTGTGCCACAGCCACAATCCAGAGAACCTGGTGATCCTGGCTGCCGATGGGGAGCATGGCTCTTTGCTGGCTGGATTACAGCCATCTCTTCTAAACATGACTGGACCATGCAAATAAAAAAATCCTGCTTGAAACCATCCTGGTTTCTACCCTGGGGTAGAAACAGGGCTTCACACCTCGGGTCAGGTGTGAAGATTGAGCTGCACAGATTGAGCTGCAGCCTTTTCCATGTTGTACGTGTATCAACCTCACAACATGTTCCATGCTTTGTTTGTTTAATGTCATAAAAAAAGCTATTTAATGCATCTGTTTAGTACTGTTAAAATCAGTTATATTCAAAACTAGCTAATGATTTTTTTTTTAGGAATCAAATATTGATTTATACCACCTGAGGAATATTAACCAATGCCTAATACCAGTAGTTATCATGAAGTTGGTCTTCTTAGCAACTTCTTAGCAAAAGAAATATTAACCACATACATTTTAAAAATGCTATAACTATCAGTTGCATTTTTGCAACCAAACATATTTTTACTGCTTCCTTTTTAAAGCGAATAAATGGAATCCTCATAGGTCATCAGGCAGGACAGTAGAAGTCCTGAGAAGGAGCAATTATGAAGAGGAAGAAAGTTTGTAAATTGCATGTATTTCTGCTGTGAAAAAGATTTTCCTGTAATACCATCCAGGCATTCACTTAACAAAAGTAATATTTTTGTTAGATGTAGCTGAAGGTCTCTAGTTTTGCTTATTGTCAGGTAGAGTAAATATTGCCTAGTGAAAGTAGTGTTCTCCATCTTTCAGAGTATATTCACAGTTAACAGCTCAAAATATCAAGTATGTACATTCTTTCTGCCAAGAGATGTTAAATGATAATTATGTGGTTAATTAGAAATTTTGTTTAACTTAGAAGACAGAAGAGGGGAAAAATTGAAACAAAGATTTTTTTAATTACAAATGAAGTGCATCTGTACTTTTAGTATATGTTGGGACAGTAAATTAAAGATAGGGAGACATTTTGTTGAAAACAAAAAAGTAAGGAAACAGTAAAAACTTGAAATTCATAGTCACTGCTGAAGAATTTTAGAATAAGCCTGTCTTGTGAAGGATCTGTGAGATTCTGTTTTGCAGACGTTACTAATAATGTGTCCTCCAATGTTCTATCACAGATAAAGCTCCCCTTGACTTACTGAAAAGCTTGGGACCATCCAATATTGAGGTGGAGCTGCGGGGTTTGGCCCCTGAAGGTGGGGGCTCAATGGAGGTGATGCTGAGCTTTCTGAGAATGATTGGGATGATGCTGAACAAGAAGCACAACTTCGAACTCGCTCAGGCATACCTGGCACTATTTTTAAAGGTAAAATATTTGTTACTAAATTTATGTTAGTCCTATTAAAAATAATGGTTATACTAAAAAGGTATAAATTGTCTGTTCGAATTATCTGAAGTGATTTTGGTTGAGAATGGTTTTAAAATGTCTAACTGAATGTATTGGATGATGTGGCAACTCATTTGGTGACAATCCAGAAAAACTTGGAAAACAAAAGATGTTGTGAAGAGGGCCCTGCCAGACAGGTTTTGTCTTGTATTCCTTACTTAGAATTGTTTTGTTTTGTTGGGTTTTTTTTTTGTAACATTCCTAAATTCTTAGTGGTTGTTGATTGTTAAGCTAAGGTATGTTATGTCTTAAATAAGCAAAGAATTTAATACACAATGGTTGGGAAATAAATCAGACATTTTGTTGGATTTATCACTAGACTTTGTAAGCCTGACCTACTTTCCATGTCAGTGGGCTGCCTTTCTTGTGTTATCTGCTGAGTATCACAGAGCTAATGAAATTATCCCAGGGCGTGTGTAAGTTAAAGTTACTCTACTGAAGCACAGTAACAGTTACTCTTAGAGACAAAGTAGTTCTGCAGAAGATTGAAACCCTTCTGATGCACAAGTGTTTTAGATACTCTGATTTATGAAATAATGTGAAAGCACTTAATAACAGCTTACTTCGAAAACATTGTTATAGACATTCAGACACATGTAATATCAGGGCATCCACAGCTTCTCTGGGTAATGGGTTCCAGTGCCTCACCACATTCACAGTAAAGAATTTTGTCTATTATCCAGACTGAACCAGCTATCTTTCAGATTAAAGCTCTATCAAGGCTCCTAGATATTTAAATTGTAGCCTGGAAAATAAATATTCCATCCATTAAGTGGTGATAATTACTGCAAGTTCAGAAGGTTTCTCTTATTTTTAACAAGGTTGCTGTTTGTCAGATAAGGAGACCTCATCCATCTCTATCACTATAGTGTGTGCTGGCATCATTCTTCTTGATGTGTGCAACATGGATAATTAAAATAATAATCCTGATTGACCTTAGTACATCTGTCTTGCCTTTCTAGATTAAAGAGAAATTTGTGATGCAGGTCAGAAAGTGGAGAAAGTTACCCTCTAGGGAAGCATGTGATGAGAATAGATTCAGCAGCCTTGCCAGAAGAGGATTTAGTAAAAATATAGCATATTTAAGACACTTTGCTGCTTTATCCCATCTAGAACATGAAAAATGGCTTGTAAAGACTAGCAAAAGGGGAGCAGTATTTTGAATAGAGGAAATTATTGAAATAGAAGAGTCCTTTCCCTATTTGGGACATTTCCTGAAAGCGAAGTATTGGAATTGGATGGGGAAAACAGTCTTTTAATTTTTTAATCTGTATTTGTTTCACTAACTGCTTGTTTTTATTTTCAGTTACATCTTAAGATTCTCTCATCGGAGCCAAAACTCTTGGAAGAAATATCCAAATTGTCAATGCAACTTGAGGAAACTTGGGTTCACTTACGGGCTCTCTTCAATCAGAGTCTGTGTGTTTTAACATACATGAAAAGTGCTTTGCTGTAAAATACTTCAGGGTTTTATCTGCATAAGACTTCCCTCAGAGGAATAGTACAATTTATACCAAAAAATACTGGATTCCGAAGGTCATGCTGGGTCTTGGAATTGTAGAATCATTAAGGTTGGAAAAGACCTCCAAGACCATCAGGTCTAATGTTCTGCTGGATACCACCCTGTTCACTAAGCCATATCACTAAGTGCCAGACTGCTCATTTTTTGAATACTTCCAGGGATGGTGATTCCACCATCCTGTTCCAATGCTTCTTCCGGTGCTGTATTTTATACATCTACATATGGCAGAGTATTTTAGAAAAAGCACAACTGCCTATTTTTGTTCACTTCAGTTAGAGAAAAAATTGCTATGTGCAGCTAAAATATTTGTTTTGTTGGTCTGTGCTGCCAGTGGACAGACATTTGGATTCAAGGCCCTGAGCAGCCTGGCCTTGTGGAAGGTGCCCCTGCTCATGGCAGGGGTTTGAAAGCAGATGATCGTTAAAGTTCCTTCCAACCCAAGCCATTCAATGATTCTCTGATTCTATGGCTACATAAAACGTAGTTCACCATGAAGAAATGATTTGCAGGAAAAAAAAGAAGTGGGAATGTAGCTTCTGTGCAGGAGGCTAAAAACTATATTTTTCTTAATAAAGTCATTGTTGATGCAAACATAAAATAAAAAATCTGAATTGTTAACACTTTATAAACAATAATTTAAAGCAAATTAATCTAAAAATTATGTTCCTCTGCAATTAGAGCACTTTTCTTAGAATGGTTGTAAAAATCAGTTGTCTTCTCACTTTTGCAGACGTTTATTTCTGAAGGCAAAGATTTCCAGCTGTACTAGCAATGATAGAACTTCAAAAGAACCCTAAAAACCCAAGCACCAAACTAAACAAACAAAACCAGATCTTTGGAAGGTCCAGTTTCATATGAAAATAATTTCTTTTCTTAAGGAAAAGGAGAAAAGATTACTAGAAAAAAAATTGTTTTGAGAAATTTTTAATTAAATCAGATGGGTTTTTTTACAAATTGATATTTAGGTTTCAAACCATAACATTTGGGCATTGTTTGGGACCTCATGAGTGAAATAAACTTGAAATTGGCTGCTTGAGAGTACTTCCTCCCAGCAGAAGAATCTCCTGAACAAGGCCTTTGCTGTACTTCACATGCTCAATCTATGTACACAGACCAACAGAGTAACTAATACAAATATATGCAATTTCAATGAGTAAACTTGAAAGGTGGTTCGTTGCATTTGATAGAAGACTGAAGCAATAGTGTGGGTCAGTTGTGTACTGTATAGCTGTTTGTTGTTTTTTTTTTTTATGCCATCACATTAAACCCCTTTTAGTCATGTGTACTGGAACAAATTATCTGCAAACATAGAGTCATAAAACAATAGAAGGGCTTGGCTTGAAAGGGACCTTAAAGATCATCCACTTCCAGCCCCCTGCCATGGGCAGGAACACCTTTCACTAGATCAGGTTGCTCAGGGCCCCTTCCAGCCTGACTGCACACTTCCAGGGATGGGGCATCCACAGCTTCTCTTGGTCACGGTGTCTCACCATTGTCACAGGGGAAAATTTCCTGTTCATGTCCAGTTTGAACCTACTGTCCTTGAGTCTAAAGCTGTCATGTACACACGAGGTTTCTACAAGGTTTGCTACTGAGATTTAAGAAAATCCTTTATAGCACAGAATTATTAGTTTCTGGTGGTATGGTTCTTGGCTCCCAATTTATTGGATTGATCTGAAGTTGTCCAAAGTACCTTAAATGTCAGTGTAATGAACATCTCAGCTTGCAGGTGTTAGTGTAACTCCTTTAGAAGATCTTAGACAATAATTTTCTGAATAAAGACACAATGTTCAAAGGTTGATAGGACAGTATTTGCAGACCTGCCTCTGTGGAAGAAGGAAACATGGATGAAGAACTTTCATGTTGGATCAGAGGAAAGATCTGTCAAGCCCACTGTTCTGTCTTCAGCTGGAGGAAGGAAGATTTGTAGTATAGCAGGCTGGTTGTGTATAAAGTGATGGTTTCTCAAGCATATCACAGCACCTTTCAGCAGACAGCAATTAGATCTCTGTGACCCAGCTGTAGCCTTACAGTTGTGTTTAATGTTCTGTGACAGACCTTTTGTTCTCTGTGAGTTCATCTAATCTCTTAGAACTCATTTATCCTTCACAACATCCTCTAGTAATGGGGCCTACAATTTAATTAACGGCAATAATGTATTTCTGTTTATATACTCCAGACCTGCTATCTTCTAACATTGTATGCCTCTCCTTGAATGTGAGAAATATCAGCTGTGCTCTAGTCTTCATGCTTCCCAGACTGCCTCAGAGCAGTGGTGAAAGGGCTTCTGCTCATGAAGGACATACTTTATTTTGCTAAGTGCATGTCTGCTTTTTCACTGACATCCAAGAGCCCTTTCTGGGCACAGATGTTTAAATCTGTATTTACAAGATTTGTCTACAAAACCTGTTAGGATTGTAGAGTAGTGGGTTTTTTTTGCTCTTCCATTTTCATGGTCTGCTTGATGTAGTCATAAGAAAAAACTCTGGCAAACAGGCTATATTATTAAAACAGAAACATCAGGATAATTTTTGTGAGCTATGTATGTATAACACAGTTGACATGATGTTTGCAGTCCTGTATGACCTCATTAAATGTGTTTAATGCAGTTTCTTCTACACATACTTATTTGAAGTCCACCTGGAACACTTCAATAACTTCCTTCAGAATATAGTATGTAGATGTGAGTGTTATCTTCTTTATTCTTGTCTTTTTCTCAACATGTCTACTCATCACTGCTATTTCAGGGATGTTTTACTATTATTAGAGCTGTAGAGTCTTCCACCAGTAGTTCTGATTGCTTCATGTTCTTGGTCTTTTATTTTGTCCTTTTTACCCCACATCAAAATGATAACTTGCTGTTAATAAAAAACTTCTTCAGAAATAAAAAGTAATTTCCTCCTGTTAGTGGATGAAAGTAGATATTTCACCTGCTATTTCCTGTATTATTCCTTTGCCTGAGGCATAAAGGACAGTATTTTGTGATATTAGTGAAAAATTGTTGATTACAAGTGGTAATATGCATGGAAACTGAATTTAATAATTTGGGCTTTGTTGCCCATAAGAACTCACACTAGCATGGTGCTTTTGTAATGGCATATGCAATGGGATGTGGAGAAATGCTAGATAGATGAAGGGATATTCATGTTAACTCTAGGTTCTCTTCCAAGCAGGGCAGCTACTGTGGATTTTACCATTCTTACACAATGCCAAGGCCATCTTAAGCTAGCTCTGAGTTGCAGCTTGCTGTTAAAATTCTCTGTGTTATGTGTGTGACACAGCACTCCTTCCAGCTTCCTCTCAAGCCTGTCCCCACCTCTCTTCCTGTGCTTCCCTTTTCACCATGATTTTTTCAGCTCTTGGTTCCTGAGTGCAGCTGCTGCTCTTAGCAACTCCTGCACATAGCAGTCCTGTCAAGTTAGGTTCTCTGTACTTCCACTATTTCCTTTTGACTGTTATTTTTTCCAGACACATTTGGTATTCCTGGTTGTTTTGAGACTGGTAGCTGGACCTTGCTGCCTGAATTTGCTACTGGGTGGATTCAGATGCTGCACAGTGAATGTTGCTCTTCTCTGAACCATAAGAAGCCTTCAATTTTAGTAGTCTTTGTTTTCCTTTTTCAGTCAAGTAAAAGTATAGAGGTATTATGAGGCATGCAAACATGAAGAGACAGTAGAAGGATACCAATGTTTACATTTGGCTACGTGGTTCAGTAGCCAACCTATACCTCTGACTTGAAGCGCTCCAACATTTTGTACATTTCAAATTTACCTCTTACTTCTTCAAGAAAAATATAAGAAAGATCTATCTGTGCAAGTTGTCATAACTGCAAGTCCTAGAGTAAGGACACTGGAAGATACTTATTTGCATTCTGTGAATTAGAAAAGGCAGGATGTTTGTTGGCATATTTGAACTCTGTTAATGTGCTCTGTTTTAAACTCTTGTGAAGGAGTTTAGCATTGTTCAAGGATCACTATTATGTAAGTAGTTTACTGTGTTGTCTGTTGTTTCATCAGCCTGTTGTCTGATGTTTCCTGAGTATCATATGTTAATCTTCCCAGCACATCACCATCTGTATCTTAAGAGCTATTTGTTTTATGAAAAATTATCTCTTAATAAAAGTAATTTACCTTTTTAGAGATGACGAATCCAATCAGTGTCTTATTTGATGCCAGTGCAAGGACTGGCATCCTTTACTTTTTGATGTGTTTACAATATACATTAGAGGAGACCAAAATGCTGTCATTACATGTCCTTAACCCCTGTGCTTTTCTTTTTATGAAGCAGTGGTGAATTGAGGAAAGCAAAATGAAAGATAAAATAACCAAGATTTTTCTACCCTGGCTGTTACGTCTTCTACTGTATGATTCTGTGTTACCCAGAAGGATTAAATGAGCTCTCTGATGCTTGTTGCGCATCACAAAGCTTTGCTGTTTAGTAGCAGTCTCTGAAAAAATTACTTTCCTCCACTGATGTGTGCACTGCTAGTTTGTGAAACAGCTTATGTGGCTAAGTGGAATTGCATACTGCTTCCCTGACTATCCAGTGTGTTAAAAATGTGCTGGCTCTATGACTACTAGATTATGAGTGTTTTAAGGGTCCTCACTCTGAAGGATCAGATCACCTTGGTGTTTTGCAGTTACCTGAAATCACCCATAGAATAAGTCAGAATAAGGTAGAATAAAATACTTGCAGGATCCTCACTCAGTTGATATTTTTGTAGAGACTGGAAATAAAAAGAAAACTCGCCTACTGAACTTAAGTCCAGAGGGTTCCTTCACCCTTTTTTGTTAGCCTGTAGCCAAGCTGATATTTGCCTTACAGCTACACAGCTGAAGATCTATCACTTACTCTTTCTGAAGTTGCCCAGTATTGGTCTCAGAATGAGACATGAATTTCGCAACTCATCTCATCCATTAGCACTCCAAACACTT